GACATATAACATTGTGTAAAGTTAAGGGGTAGAATGTGATGACTTGATACACATACATATTGTGAAATGATTACCACAATAAGGTTAGTTAACACATCTATCACCTCACATAATTGCCTTTTTTGTGGTGAAAATATTTGATCTCTACTTTCTCTGCAACTTTCAAGTGTACAATATAGTGTTAACCATAATCATGCTGTGCATTAGATCCCCAGAACTTAGTCATCTGATAACTGAAAGTTTGTACCCTTTGATCAGTATCTTCCCATTTATCCCAACCCCCAGCTCCTGGTAACCACCATTCTAGTCTCTGTTTCTGTGAGTTTGACTTTTTAAAAATCCATGTAAAAGTGATATCATACAATATTTGTCTTTCACTCTGCGACTTATTTCACTTAACATAACATACATATATATTACACATATATACATACTTTTCTACAACACGTAATTTTAAGCTAAATTATACCTATTTATATTTTTGTCAGAAGTATATAAAATCATCCTACTGAATCTCTCTCTCTCTTCTTTTTTTTTTTGCGTGGTTCTCACAGGTATGCTTATTCATGCATGAGGGCAGCGGCATGTCCACAAGTCAACGCGATGTCTCACGTTCCCAACCAACACGGCCAGACTGATGTTCTATCCACATAATGCTGGTTAATGGTGACCATGAGCAGGTGCAGGACTGGGAGCCTTCAAGGCTTTACTTCTTTTATCAGCACTCCTGATTTTATAAACAATGAAGCCCATCAACCCCACTCCTACCCAAATCTCCTGGTAAGCTCGGGTGTAGTAGGGCTTCATGGGGATCCAGACATTCTTAATAAGGCTTTGAAGCATCTCAGCGCAGCACCAGTGGCTCCTGAACCTCTTCTAACAATAACTTCTTGAAAAATATTTTGTCACTTGTTTGTTGATCAACAATTGCATTACTGTTTAGATGTGTAATTTTTGGAATCCTACTAAACTGAATATTTTTCAAGTGTTTATTGATCATTTATATTTCTTAATTTCCTTATTCTTAGAGCAAAGATTGGCAACTCCAGCTCATGGGCCAAATCTGGTCTGCCATCTGTTTTGATAAATAGAATTTTATCAGGACGCAGCCACGCCCTTTCATTACGTATTGTCTATGACAGCTTTCATGCCTTTCCTTAGAGTTGGTAATTGTGACAGAAACAGTATGGTCTGCAGCACCTAGAAAATTTACCATTTGGACCTTTACAAAATAGCTTGCCACTCCTGCTCTGAAGAATGACTCCTGTATTGTCAGTCTCCTATTCCCTTTATCTTGATTTGTCAATACTTTTCCTGTGAGTCTCAAGTTGATTTTTTTCCATGTTACTTATCCTCAGTAAGGTGTCTGTCAGTAACTGGGATGCAGTGATTTCCCTCAAGAGTCCGTGCTGATCACTAGCCATCTGGCTGAGCGCTTTTCAGGTCTGCAGAAGAGTGATTGCACATTTAATACCTCATCCCCAGTATCCAGCTGGTGCTTATGTAACCAGCTCTGAGGTTCCAAGAGAGGATTTTTTATCTCCATTCGTAGTTTCTTTCTCTGATACAAATCATTCACAGAAAGACCTCATACTTTCCTCTTCCAAGCATTATCTTGGTCTTTTTCCTCTTTCATCCACACAGAGACCACTGCCCATATGGAGGCAGCATGCTGCAGAAATAGGAAGGACCCTGGAAACGTTCAATTCCAGATTTAAATTTGGGTGGAAACTTCCTAGCTAGGTAACACTGGTAAAACTGCTTTGCTTCCCTGAGCCTCTGTTTCCTTTTTTATAACCTTACATATTGTTGAGAAGATAAAATAAGGTAAGAGAAAGACACTGACACAGCTGGTTTTCCTTCTATTTTTATTTTAATTGGGGAGAAGTACTTCTATGCTCTCATGTCAGCATCTCACCCAGTTTTTTTTTTTCAGTAAAGAGCACCTTGAATTACCTTCTGACAAAGGTCCTTTCATTGAGACCAAAGAATCTGACCTTCATTTTAATGAGTGTTGGTTTTAAGCTTCTTTTCACGAGTGTCTCTGATAGGCTCTGACTAATTAGATAGGGTCCTCTTTGATGACGTTCCAGAAAACCCTTCTTCAACAAGAACCATCCTCCTGCCTCCCTTTTGTGTATTCCTTGGAACCTGCTGTCAAATCCTCTCGTCATTCAGTCTCGTCTGACGCAACTTTGTTTTTCTGAGAACCGTGAATGGAGATCCTGCAGCTTCTGCTTCTCTGTCTGCCTCTGAAGGTCTCATCTCTCTGTTTATCTCCTTGAGCTTAGAGATTTCAAATCCTTCTTTATTCCTCTTATTTTGTGGCCATTGATTGAACTTCATAGCCCAGTGGTAGTCCTTGGCCTGGAGAATCACGTGGCGTCCTCCAATCTTTTGTAAATGCTATAGCCATTTTATTGGAGTGTTCAAAATTTCCCCCTACTATTGGAAAGTCGAGGTTCCTGTGAAACGTTTCCTAAGCTGAAATGGCATAAAGGCAATTACCTTAGAATACGTCTTGCTAATGTAGGCACAGAATAAATTAAGATGAAACACCGATGCTCACAGACACAGCTCAGAGCTATGGCAGCTGGGTGCTGAGATGTTGAGTGTAGATCCTGGGGAGGGAGCTTGGCGGTGCTGCTCTCACTGCTCAGGTGCACGCTGCCTCTATAACGGCTGTTGCAAAACCAACACCGAACCGTCTTTTCACTTTTTGCCTTTTTTATTTTTTTTTTGTAATACTGAAGATCCTCTGTGGATTTCTTTTGGTTAAATAAAGCAGATACTAATGTAGGTCTTCCATAAAAGCCAAGTGCAGTAAAGTGAACTGTCAGAAAGCAGGGGATCCCTGTACCTGAATAAAAGCCAGGGCTCTGTCCACCAAAACACTTGGGATTCTAGCGTGGTCATAGCCCCCCTGGGAAAGGCCGTCTCTCCAGCTTCCTGAGATGGGTTTTAGTGTGTCTTCTAATCTTCCATCCAACTTCTCCAAGCTAGAATCTTAAACTGTGTGGGTTCTTCCCTTTGTGCTCAAGGGCATTGAGTGCATTTGGGAAAGCTGACCCACAGTCCCTGACCCTGGATTACAAAGATATCGTAAAGGTGAAACTTACGTACTGGAGGATTTCCAAAGCAATCTGGAAGGTCCATTCTTTCTTGGCCAGTCTTGTTGATTTTTCAGGAAAATGAGCCATTACCACAACCTTTCTCATCCACGCCATTATTTGCTAACTCTCTGTCCCTTTCAAGAGTTAAATACTCAGAGTTTTATCTCCTGAAGTGGCCCATAACAGGCTATGGAGTACTTTTTGTTTCATCTCAACTACCTTCAGGAAAATGACCCAAGACACTATCCTCAGAGGTATTTTTTTTTTCTTGTAAGTCCTATTGTTCTCAATTACTTTAAAGTTAGTAACTGGTGGAAGATTATTTTACAGCTTCTGTGAACAGCATCTTAGCTACGGAAAGGCTTTTAAACATAGTCATGGCTTCCCTTTTTTTCATCTCTAGAGCTGCCCTTCTGTTTTCTGAAGTTACTTTAAGGATCATCTTTCAGAAGGAAAACAACCTGGCATATAAACCACTTCTGAGCCTGTTTATCTAGCATGAAGAGCGAGGACACTAATAGGCATGAAAAAACAATTTCATGGGTATTAAGCTGTCGTTTCAGGCTTCACCTTCAAGGAATCAGTGTCTCGGGCTGCCGCTGAAAAGGAGATGCTGAGGCCAGAGCCTCTGGGGAAGACGAGAGGCTAGACTGAATATTACTGAATTTGTTTTCTGAAGAAATATTTAGAAACATCTACCCTTCACTTTTCATCTTTTCACCTGCACACCTGATTAAACATCTATCAAAGTAAGTGCAAAGCTGCATAACCACCACAGTGAGGACCAGAGGCAACTGTACTTGCTGGAGAAGGGAGTGAATTGAGGTGGGAGACAAATGGGGCAGCCAGAGATGTGTCCCCAGAGAAGCCTGGGAGGATCATTCTGGAAACTCCCCAGTCTCTGGACTAGGCCAGGAAGGTTCAAGCCGGGCCAAGAACTCATAAATACCACTGGTAAGTGAGGGAATCATTTAATGAAAGAGGAAACTATGCACGGGCCTCAGGGTTAAAGGTTAATGGGCAGGGTTTCAAAAACAGTTTCATCAGGCACTAATAGATTACAACTAACATCTTGTGTCCCCACATTAAAGCAAGAGACTGGTTCAAATGGACTAATGCATCTTGGATTTCAAAATTATATATATATAAAAAAAGACGTGAATAGGAGGCTGAGGAAAGCTGAAATCTTAAGATAGAAATAAAAGAAC